TCAGTGGTCTTAGACACACAGACACTGTTCAAAGAAGCACCACTCACGACACTGCAGGCCAGTTCACCCGACCTCCTCCTACAAACATGGTCGACCCTAGGGATCCGTAAAATCCAGGACCTATATCACCAAAACATGCTGAAAACGTTTCCCACCCTACAAAGTGAATTCTCCCTGAGCCCCAGAGACTTATTCAAATATCTAAGGGTCAAGCACATACTGCAATCTCGCACTAAGCCGACAACACCCGTAAAACGACCAGACACTCCTGCTGCCCAGTACATCTTGACATCCCGCTATGTCAAACCCCTAGCCCTTTGCTATAATGCACTGGAACGAGAGAAATCTGAACACAAACTTCCTTACATGGAAAAATGGGAAGGAGATATAGGGAAAACACTCACATTAAAACAATGGCATGAGGCCTTTTACTTAACAAAACGGGCATCTAAAAGCCTGTCTCTCTGGGAAGCATTCTGCAAGATAGCAATGCGCTGGTATCTAGTTCCCTCACGACTAGCAAGAATGTATCCCAACTCCTCCCCGCTGTGCTGGAGATGCAACCGCACGGCAGGGTCGTTGCTTCACATATTCTGGGACTGTCAGATCATAACTCCGTTCCGGACCTCGGTCCAAACACTCATACGCGAAACAACTAACCTAGCTATACCATTAGACCCTGTACACTACCTGCTGCATATGCTTCCCACGAGCAACTCAGTAAGACCCCCAGCGACCATGACTGCATTAAACATATTAACTATAGCCAAAATTGCGATAGCCTCTCAATGGAAGGCCATAACACCACCAACAATAGAGGAGGTAACAAAAAGAATGGATAACGTTTGCTTGTACGAGAGAATGGCACACAATTTACTAGGAACACCGGAAAAACATGGTATCCAATGGTGCGGATGGATCAATATCCGAACATTGGACGACGCAGATGACTGAGGCACTATGACACGTTGACACACGCCCCAGAGAAATAAATAGGAGGGTTATACCAGTTATACTGGTTATAATACTTATACTACATCCTACATGTCACAAACCTCGCCACTAACCACACACACCGCAAGGTCCGATAGCAGTACCAAACAGGGAAATTTCAGGTTACACGGTTATATCAGTAGAGTTACTGTTGAATGTTACCCTTCCCTTAACCTTTTTTTTTCTTCCCTTTGTACCCGGTTGCATGACGAGATAGAGAATTGAGCTAATGCGGACATCAACAACAGTTAGCACAAATGTCTATAGCTCTAGTCAAAAACAAACACCTCAAACGAGCTGTCACACAAACGGAGTTAGAGCATAACATCGATGATGCTTATACGTTGTTGTCGTTACTAGCGTCACTACACGAATTATCATGTTATATGAACCTATGTGTATAAGCCAATGAGGCCACATTTGATCGATGAGCTGCCACGTCAGCGATAGTGTATTGTATTGTATTGTATTAATATTACTGTTAGTATTGTATTAATATTAATGTTGGCATTGTATTAATATCATTATCATTGTAATATTATTATAGTATCGTTTAACTACTGTATTATTCTATCACTGTATTTGTACCAATACTGTAAATTTATTATTATATCACGGTACCATGCACTGGAGTACTACTAAAACCAATAAAAAAGAAATATGGAAAAAAAAAAATAAGTTGGGACAGAATATAGTGTTCTTCTGAAAATCTCAAATCTGTAACAACTTCAACACGGGCACTTGCGGGTACAGTGCCTGCAGACTGTTACATATCTACTCACAATGTTTCCGGGCTCACTCCAAGATGATGTATCCTAATAAATTGTACCCTAAGCCTGATCTGTCGTCTCTCAATGTCTCACTGCTACGAGAATTATTGGGTAACCACCCCTCTCAACTTCTTGTAGACTTTCTGGTGTCTGGGATCATGGTAGGGTTTCACACAGTAATTATTTATATGCCGGCAGGGATAGTCGAATGTAAAAACTTGCAGACTGCCCTTGCTGATACTGACACTATATAGTACTGCTCCAGAAAGAAATAGACAAGTGTTTTTTACTAGGTCCATTTGACTCTCCGCCCTTTTTGGTATGGAGAACTAAACCATAGGTATGGTTACGGGTAAATCCTCTAATAAGCAAAGGTTGATCATCGACCTCTCTGATCCCCATGTCACGAATACACCTAGTCTTAACTCGCTCATTCCATCGGAGGAATTTTCACTCCAATATGAGACTGTGGACAATGCCATCAATGCTATCCTGTCAGAAGGTATAGGAGAGTGGCTTAGTAAGACAGACATAGTAAATGAATTCAAGCTCCTCCCTATTCACCCTTCCCTGTGGCATCTACATGGTGTTAAGTGGCAAGGGTCATACTATTTTTTCCACACGGCTCACTTTTGGTTCAAAGAGCAGTCCAAGGATCTTTGATATGTTTGTGGAGACATTGTGTTGGATGTTGCTTAACATCTGTAGATGCCCCACCGTAATTCATTACCTTGATGATTTTCTGACTTTAGAAAGTAACCTGCTTCTACCCAGTAACCTCCAGGCTACTATACAATTGTTTAAACGCTTGGGTGTTCCTGTTTCACCTACAGAAACTGAAGGTCCCGATACTGTTATCAATTTTCTGGGGGTAGTGCTGGACTCTGTTCAGATGCAAGCCAGCCTTCCCTCGAATAAGATGGAGCACATCCTCTCAGCTATTGACCAGTACCTGGTGGGGGGTTCTTCCAATAGAAAGGAACTCCAATCACTGTTGGGTTCACTAAATTTTGCCATGAAAATTATACCACAAGGGCAGGCATTTATCTAACGGTCTTTTTCCCCCATTTCAGTCAGATTCCTCCCACATTGCTCTAGATTCACATGCCACCACGGACTTACGCATCTGGAGGGAATTCTTCCTGAATTGGAATGGCAAAAACATATTCATTCCAGTGTTGACGGACAAGTCTTTGACGATCTGGACAGATGCTGCTTCCACATCTGGTTTTGCTGAAAAAAGACTGGATGTGGGGTAACTGGCCTGATGAAATTAAAGAGATCCCGGAGTTCACTAACACCTCAGCTTCATTTGAGCTTTACCTGATTGTGGCAGCGGCAGTCAAATGAGGGGCTTGCTGGTCGGGTAACACGGTGCGATGCTTCTCTGACAACATGGCAACTTGCCATATTGTTAACAAGGGACGTTCATCATCCCTGGCCATCATGCGATTAATGAGGAATCTGACATTGCAAGCAGTTAGGCACAGTTTTTTCTTGACATGCATACATATTCCTGGAGTCTTGAATATCGCAGCTGATTATTTATCTTGATCTTGATTTCAGGAGTTCCAGGCGGCACTACCAACAGCAGCCCCGATACCTACCCCGGCACCATGGTGGCAGGACATGGTTATGGACTAGATAGTCTAATCACTCACGGGCGTCACCTCTCACAACTAGGTCTTTCGGATAACACAAGGAAATCATATGGCAGGACTTTTCATATTTTCAACAGATTTTTGCTTGAGTTCCACATAATTGACAAATTCTCTATGGAAACTTTGATTGCTTTAATTTCCTTTTGCCACCTCCACCTAAAGCTATCCTTCAACACCATTAAATTATATCTTACCAGTATTCAACACCACATCCTCACCTCATAAACAACGCTTCCTTTCATCTTACCAGGTAAAAGCCATATTAAAAGGTATCAAGGACTCCACACCTACACCCACGCCTTCTAAACTACCCATTCACAACCACCTGTTCCAGTCACTTTCAGACCTCCTAGATGCCGCACCCTTTGAGACACAGACAAATCACATCATTAAAACTGACATCTATTTAGCATTCTATCGATTTCTTGGGCTCAGATAATTCACCACTTCTAACACTAGCTCCCCAAACTTCATCACAAGAGCACATCTGATTAAATCACATGACCACTACCTACTTTCACTAAACCATACCAAAACTGGTGGAAGGCAATAGACAGTCACAAACATGTATTACCCCACAAGCAATAAATGGTGCCCTGTGGAAGTTTTCAATCATTACCTTTCCTCCATTCAAAAGGACCACTTCTGGCTTTACACGGAAATACACTCTCTACTAGTAGGTTCATGCTCTATGTGAGAATTAGAGTTGAGCGGACACCTAGATGTTCGGGGTCCAGTGGGTTCGGCCGAACTTTGAAAAAAAGTCCGGGTTCGGGCTCGAACTTGACCCCGAACCCAAACCCCATTGAAGTTAATGGGGAACCGAACTTTTGGGCACAAAAATGGCTCTACAGAACTCCTGGAAAGGGCTAGAGAGCTACAAAAGGAAGTAAATTGGGGGACAAGAGTAGGACACGTGCCCTGCAAACAAATGTGGATAGGGAAATAACTTAAAATAACATAAAAATTAAAAATACAGCTGAGCCATAAAATAACACTAGATGGAATCTTTGATTTTAGCTTTGGAAGAACATAAATCAAAATCTAAAGCATGGCTGTCAGGAGGATCAACAGAATTATCCATGTGAGAGAGGGTTGGAGTGCAGGGTATTCTCTTTCATTGTTCAAACTGAGCTCAACTCCTGATGCATGGAGAAAAGGCCTTCACAAGCCTCTGCTAATGTGTACATACTTAGTTTATACTAAGTGACCCATAGGTTGAGGAGGCGGTAACTGTGGCGGTGTAGGTGGAAGCAGCAGTGGAGGAGGAGGATGAGGTAGCCAACACTGTTTTTTATGTTTTTTTTAATTGTGGTAGCCCACAAAATATTGGGACATATAAAAAAAGAAACATTTGCGGCCTGCGGTGCATTTCTTGCAGTCCTGATGCATGGAGAAATGCTCAACTCCTGAGGCATGGAGAAAAGGCATTCACAAGCCTCTGCTATTGTGTACATAGTTTATATTAAGTGACCCATAGGTTGAGGAGGCAGTGACCGTGGCGGTGTAGGTGGAAGCAGCGATGGAGGAGAAGGATGAGGTAGCCAACACTGTTTTTATATATATATATATATATTTATATATATATATATATATATTTTAATTGGGGTAGCCCCCAAAATATTGGGACATATAAAAAAAGACAACTCTGGTCCGCAGAGTAGCTGTTGACATTATAGCTGCGCGAGAGATCCTCGGGCCAATCACACATCCCTGTGATGGCGACTTTGCATTCGGATGTCATCCATATCAACTTTCGATGTCAGTTTCTGCGCCTACCATGGTGACCACGGGTAATGGGAATCAGGGTTCCATTCCGTACAGGGACCCTGAGAAACGGCTACCACATGCAAGGAAGGCAGTAGGCGTGCAAATGACCCACTCCCGACCCAGGAAGGTAGTGACGACAAATAACAATACAGGACTCTTTAGAGGCCCTGTAATTGTAATGAGTCCACTTGAAATCCTTTAACTCTGATCAATTGGAGGGAAGTCTGGTGCAGAGCCACTGACCCGTGCGTGCTGCAGCTGAAACTCCACTATCGCCTGCTGCTGCACGCACGAAAGGCTGAAGTTACACTGCAGCGCAGACAGGCGAGCAGGGTGAGAACACCAAAAACGCGCACAGCCGCTACAGTGAATGTCACATCCTGTTCTAAGTTGCGGATCAGTCTGGTGATGGCTTCTGGTATCCAGTACTCTTTTTACTGAAGCTGCTTCAGGGTCCTGGTATGTGGCCGCACAAGCGCTGGTGCTCAACACCAGGGGTGTGCGGTTACCCTGCACCAGACCCTGCTAAACCATTCCACACTGTGACTCCTAACTTCAACATCAGGCATACTGGGTCCCGGTCGTCCGACCGCCGCCCAGACAGTGTCTGGGTCCTGGTCACCGGACTGCCCACCTGACTGAAACTACGAATGGATCGTTAAATCTGGTACGAACACGAACTTTGCAGTTCGGGTTCGTTCAACTCTATTATGGATCCTTTGATCGCTACATGTATTACTTGGATAACTGGTAATTCTCGAGCCAATACATGCTGACGAGTGCTAGGGGACGGCCACTCCACTTTTGCACCCTGCTCCCTCTTATGCTGTGCTGGTGCCTCTGTGCGACCAGCGCCTCTTCCTCCAAACTGCACACGTCACTCGCATGACCTTGATTCCATACGGGGTCTAGGACCTTATCATCCTCCACATCATCTTCCACCCACTCCTCAACCCTGCCCTCCTTGCCGGTATGCACACTGCAGAAAGCCACAGCAGTTGGCACCTGTGTTTTTCCAGCATGTAAAGTTTGCAAAGAACATATGGAAATTGTTTTAGAATTGTATCCAGGCAAATGTTTTCCCTATAAACTGACCTCTCAGTTTGACTTGTGAGGGTATTGCCCCAGAATTACTATATTGTTTAAGTACCTCTTAGCTATTGATAACTGGTTTAAATATAGCAGCTTGTTATCTGGTAGTTTCTAGTGTAGAAAATATTGATCTGTTTTCTATCACTTAGATCTGTGTAACAAGTGTTGTAGGTGTGAAACAATATTACAAGTGACCGATCTAGTAAATTCGAATCAAAGTTATGCTTTGATTTGAATCTCAGATATGAAGTGATCACCCCAAATATACTATTTAGCACCAAAAAAAAAAAAAATACGTTTTAAAACTCCAATGTAAGCAGCAGATTAGCACCCAGAAAATTAGAATGTTTACATTTGCGCTGTAAGCACACTATTAGACGCTTCTATTTGACTCTCAGATATGAAGAGTAGGCAACAAAATGTACTATTTAGCAAATTAGCAGCAAAACTATTAGAATTTTTACAACTGCGCTATAATCACACTATTAGACGCGTCTATTTGACTCTCAGATATGAAGAGCAGGCCCACAATGTACTATTTAGCAGATTAGCACCCAGAAAATAAGAATGTTTACCACTGCGCTGTAAACACACTATTAGATGCTTCGATTTGACTCTCAGATATGAAGTGCACGCCCCAAAATGTACTATTTAGCAGATTAGCACCCAGAAAATTAGAATGTTTACAACTGTGCTGTAAGCACACTATTAGACGCTTCTATTTGACTCTCAGATATGAAGAGCAGGCCACAAAATGTACTATTTAGCAGATTAGCAGCAAAACAATTAGAATGTTTACAACTGTGCAGTAAGCGCACTATTTGACGCTTCGATTTGACTCTCAGATGAAGTGCACCCCCAAAGTGTACTATTTAGCAGATTAGCACCCAGCGCTGTAAGCACACTATTAGACACTTCTATTTGAATCTCAGATCTGAAGAGCAGGCCACAAAATGTACTATTTAGCAGATTAGCAGCAAAACAATTAGAATGTTTACAACTGTGCAGTAAGCGCACTATTTGACGCTTCTATTTGACTCTCAGATATGAAGAGTAGGCAACAAAATGTACTATTTAGCAAATTAGCAGCAAAACTATTAGAATTTTTACAACTGCGCTATAATCACACTATTAGACGCGTCTATTTGACTCTCAGATATGAAGAGCAGGCCCACAATGTACTATTTAGCAGATTAGCACCCAGAAAATAAGAATGTTTACCACTGCGCTGTAAGCACACTATTAGATGCTTCGATTTGACTCTCAGATATGAAGTGCACGCCCCAAAATGTACTATTTAGCAGATTAGCACCCAGAAAATTAGAATGTTTACAACTGTGCTGTAAGCACACTATTAGACGCTTCTATTTGACTCTCAGATATGAAGAGCAGGCCACAAAATGTACTATTTAGCAGATTAGCAGCAAAACAATTAGAATGTTTACAACTGTGCAGTAAGCGCACTATTTGACGCTTCGATTTGACTCTCAGATGAAGTGCACCCCCAAAGTGTACTATTTAGCAGATTAGCACCCAGCGCTGTAAGCACACTATTAGACACTTCTATTTGAATCTCAGATCTGAAGAGCAGGCCACAAAATGTACTATTTAGCAGATTAGCAGCAAAACAATTAGAATGTTTACAACTGTGCAGTAAGCGCACTATTTGACGCTTCAATTTGACTCTCTGATCTGAAGAGCAGGCCACAAAATGTACTATTTAGCAGATTAGCAGCAAAACAATTAGAATTTTTACAACTGTGCTGTAAGCACACTATTAGATGCTTCTATTTGACTCTCAGATATGAAGAGCAGGCCATAAAATGTACTATTTAGCAGATTAGCAGCAAAACAATTAGAATGTTTACAACTGCGCAGTAAGCGCACTATTTGACGCTTCTATTTGACCCTCAGATATGAAGTGCACCGCAGGCTGCAAATGTACTATTTAGCAGATTAGCAGCAATACAATTAGAATTTTTACAACTGCGCTATAAGCACACTATTAGACGCTTCTATTTGACTCTCAGATATGAAGAGCAGGCCCCAAAATGTACTATTTCGCAGATTAGCAGCAAAACAATTAGAATGTTTACAACTGCGCAGTAAGCACACTATTTGACGCTTCTATTTGACTCTCAGATATGAAGTGCACCGCAGGCCGCAAATGTACTATTTAGCAGATTAGCACCCAGAAAATTTGAATTTTTACAACTGTGCTGTAAGCACACTATTAGACGCTTCTAATTTACTCTCAGATATGAAGTGCACGCCCCAAAATTTACTATTTAGAAGATTAGCACCCAGAAAATTAGAATTTTTACAACTGCGCTGTAAGCACACTATTAGACCCTTCTATTTGACTCTCAGATATGAAGTGCACCCCACTACAATACTATTTAGCAGTTTAGCACCCCAGGCTGGGCCTGTAGTTATGGGAGGGGCTTGGGGTCCCCTTTAACCCCTTAAGGACACATGATATGTGTGACATGTCATGATTCCCTTTTATTCCAGAGGTTTGGTCCTTAAGGGGTTAAAAGAGCCTCCAATCCTCTCTCAGATACCGATTTTGGTCTGACGAGTTGACCCTCCCACCTTTCACATCACCCTCTAAGGTGGGCCCTCTTTTATTACAGGCCTACTGCATTGTTGGTTCCGGCACACCACAAACGACTGGTGTTATAAGTTATGTTATGCTATTGGTATATGTCATCTAACCATTACGGCTTTATTGCTCCGACCACAAATATATATATTGTGCTGTATTCTCACATGCTGACCAACTGTTAAACTATGTTGTCTCGTATACTTGCAAATGCTGTTGGCGCATTGCGAGCTAACTTGTTATAGTTACACGCACTTTAAAAATAAAGAATACAAATAAATAAATAGGAAGACCTATGCATTGGCGCCTAGGAATCTAAACAAAATAACAAATGAGAACACCTACCTTAGATCACTAATTTTAACCCCTTGATGACACATGGCATGTATAACATGTCATGATTCCCCTTTATTCCAGAAGTTTGGTCTTTAAGGGGTTAAAGCTATTCAACTGGTAAATGTTCTAGAATATTTGCAAAAATGAACATTTGGTGCTCTTTCAACTTGGTAAAGATTCTCAAAGTACATGAATAGAATACTGCTTTCAGAATAAGCAGACCAATGTAAGGATGATGTCATGCTCTAGTATTCCAGGAGGACGTTAATATATCTCATAAAAATATATATACTTTAGGTTTGGATGCATTATTTATGTTTCAATACAGCTAGCTTATAAATACATTACCTGGTTTAGTCTTCTAGTCTTTTAAAAAAAATTGCTTTATACATTGGTAGTATGTGCATTGGGAGAATATCTAACTCTAAGCCCTAATTGTAGTCAGATGTTTTAACACCACTCCCCCCCCCCCCACAAATTATTTACATAACTATTTTCCAAGTTATACATTTGCTCATTGAAAAACAAATATGCTCAAACAAAAAGTTTATTTGTTATAAAAAAAAGACCATTTGTTATTTGCCATATGTTGAAATATCTACATTTTTTCTTAACTTGTAGTAATCAATAGGTCAGGATGCTCAACACCTGAGGCCACCTTACATTCCCTTCCATCGTTCATAATCCAGAACACTACCAAATATTTCATTGATTTGACTGTATATTGCCTTAACCCTTATATATAAAATGTTTTCTTTTATTTATTTATTATTTTTGTTGTTGTTATTTTTTAGCAAACATCAATAGATTGTTATGAACTACTACGTCTTCAACACATCATTAATTTTGTGATATCCATTTAATTAAAAAAACTTTAGTTTGGCACGCATTTAAAAAGAATCAGTCATCAAAAGTTGTTTAATTATATTTATGTTGAACATCATTGACTTGATGTAGTGAAATTTATATTCAGCATATGTGTCCATTTGAATTTAGTTTTACAACTTTAACAGGATATTCGATATATATATTATACAATAAATGTATGCAGCTGCTTTAACAATGATTGTCTGCTCTATGTCTTCGGTAAATACTGTATGTCCT